ATATATGTATATATATTCATAAAATAAAGCATACGTATATAGCATATATATAGCATTATAATCACCTCGTTCTCAAATAACTTATATATAATAGCTCGAATTTTCATAAGATCAATAATAGAAGCTCATTTATATATAGCATTATAACCACCTCATTCTCAAATAACTTATATATAATAGTTAGCTCGAATTTTCATAAGATCAACAATAGAAGCTCATTTCAAGATCCAATCTAATAAGACAGATTATTTATAAATACGACTAAAGTATATATTGTATAATAAGATTACATTAATTCTCTGCTCTTATTATTTCTCGTTTATAAAATTATTTCTCGTTTAGAAAATTAATTAAGATTTCGTTTCAATAAATATTTCAATGTTTGCTGCCATTGTCGCAGATCGAATAATGCAAGATACAGAGAATTAGTGTTTCATGTCTTCTCGATGACACGCTCGAAAATGTCTCGTCTCTATATGACAGAGATACTGGTCACGTCTCTTATCCATGGGACACTTAGTAGCACTTACTCTTATCTTAATGACCGGGTACGCGCGTAGCGTTAATGGTTCCTTTAAAATTAGCAGTGGAAATGTGCGACAGTGCTCTAAAATTTTTCGAAAAAAAATTTCACGTGACGCCGTACGCGCTGTCAGCGGACAAAAAGATAAATGACTGGTTTTTCTTCGTTTTCTTCGTTTCTTCATCGAGTCGCACCTTCTGGAGTGTTTGAAACGACTTTGAAACGAGTAGCTGTTAAAGCAGATTGAGACGTGTGAATTTTAAGTAAATACATTTTAAGATTCAAGAACAATCTCTTTCCTTTTGTTACTTTTTGCAAGCCTAACGACCTTAAGGCTGCTCAATCGAGGAATCTGGAATATATATATTATAATAAATTATATTATATTATAAATAAAAATAATATATATGTAAATAAAAATTAAATATATATTTATAATATTTTATTTATAATATATTATATATAATATAATATATATTTTCATTAATTATTAGCATATATTATTATAAAATATTAATATTATTCTAGTAAAAAGTGTTTTTTTACTTTCATAAGCGGCACGTATATCTATACTTCTTGTTTCGTCAATTTTCTTTTTATATTTATATTACCGGATTTTGTTTTAACCTTAATTATCAGACATTTTTAAGACTTGAACTTTTGACTTTTCACTTGTTATAATATTACTTATGCACATATGTCCGAATATAATCCTAACATATGTGTGAATTTCATTTCTAAATAAATATGGACGCAATAGTTCGAAGCGACTTTAGCGAGCAACTGAGTACTCACAATCAGAAAATAAAATTTCGAATAAAAAGTATATTTTATATTTTTATCCTCATTTTATTAAATAATCTTCTTAGTTGGGACTTTCTATCAATTGGATGTTGGAAACTGTCTATCAATTGGGATATTAAATATATTATTTGGGATAACTAAATATACTAGTATAACTAAAAATAACTAAACTGAAAGGGCGTGACATAACATACAAGCATATACACATATACACACACAAGTACAATATACATATATAATATACATGTTACGCAGTACGAAGATTCCGTTGTTCCGTTCCGTCAAGATAAATCTGTCTGAGGTCGTATCGTCCAGATCGCCTTTTTTTGTGCGTCGAGGAAAAACTTATAAATGGTTATACATTAATATTTAATATTAATAACCGCGTTCACGTCGTAATACACTAAGTTTCGGGAACAGACGACATTTGCAGTTGATTTGCTCAGTGTGTATAAATAGATTTGTGCGATGAAATGAGATGCCTTACGTTGTGGCAAATATCCCGCATGCGAATCTGAAGATCAGAGTTGTCTGATTTCATAACTGGCGATGCTGGCTGCACTTTACTGAATTATTCAATCACTGAATCACTGAATATTTAATACTAGGCCGAAATCTGGCTCGAAGGACCATTATGTGTTACGACGTGACTCGATGTCCGTTTCCGTTCGGTCCGCTTTCCTTACATTTATAGTTAGGGTTAAATTTCATATTGAGTTATATATTTGGATGATGGCGACGACGATTGGTTGATTGCAAGATTGTATAAAGAAACTGTTTTGAGATCTTTCTTTGCTTGTGGTTGATTTAATTGCTGTGTCTGAGGTTTGGTGATTTTTTTAACCTGCATAAAAAGTGAACAAGAAAAATTTCAAAAAACCTGCACATTTTTATTGATTTCTATTCTGGGCTTTGACTTTGTTTAGGTTTTGTGTAATGGCAATTACCTGTTTAGGTAATTTTCTCTTAATTTTCAGTGGGATTGAGTTTCCTGTTTGGCTGATGAATGTGCGGTTTCAGATGAATTGTTTGAATGGGTGTGTCATACAGGTTGAAAATGATGTGTAGGAATTTATTTTGGATTCTTTGAATCTTACTAATGTGAGACTGCGGCTGCAGCCCAGATTTGATGGATACATTATTATTGGCCTAACGCATATCTTATATAAGTTTAGTTTGATATTTGTTTTGAATTGTTTCTGTGAATTAGTTGGTATAGTTTTCTGAGTGCGAGGAAAGCTAGATTTGCTCTTTTAGTGTTTGCTGGAACCCAGGTAACTTTAACATATAATAGTACGCCAAGATACCAAGTGGGAGACCAAGGGATGTGATCTGCGATGAAAATTTGATTTGTGGGTTTAGGTTAGGTTTAGATTAATTTAATCTCTCATGTGAAGGCAATAGCTTGCGTTTGGTTAATTTTTAGTTTCTAGTTTGTGAAGTAATCTTGGAGTTGATTAAGGTGTGCTTGAATATACTTGGCTGTGTTTTTGTAACTCCGGTAATAACTAATGAGGTAAAGATGGCGGTGTCGTCTGCGCAGACAGGCCAAGTGGCAATTTTGAGTGCATGGGATGTCGTTTATGTAAATTATGAATAGCAGCCGAGTATGTGACCTTGTGATACTTGTGAATGAGGTTTTTAGTGGTTGAGGGAATACCGTTTCTTGAGACATAGAAGTTTTGCAGGTCTATTAGTCCGAAGAGAGCTGGTAAGTATTTATTCTTGGTAGTTTCACTAGAAGGACGCTGTGCCAAACTGAATCAGAGGCTTTTTCTAAATCTAGGAAGATAAGTTGTGTTACTCTGTTTTTATTTACATTGTTATCACATCTAGAGTGATGCGATATATACCATATATGCGATATATACTATAACTCACTGTAGCTGCTGGATGCATGAATAATTTTTCCCAAAACGAAACTGCTGGGTAATGATGTTACTTGTCTTACTTGTTGTTAACATGGGTTAATAGATGGGTGACGATAATTTTTTCAAATAATTTGCTGATGGTATTTAGGAGGTTAATTAGTCTATCATTTTCGATAGCTATTGCGGGTTTTTCCTGCTTTGAGGATTGGAATTATTTTGGCGATTTTCCATGCTGTGGTAACAAAAATAGGAAATTTTAAGGTAAGCTTTGAAGATGTAATGTATTTGTACTATGGGTTTGATTGGCAGTTTTTTGATTATATGCCTTATCTGTTGAGAAGTGCAGTTTAAACTGTTGTCATCCATGGAGAGGTTTGTGGGTGGTAATGTTGCAAATCTTTCTCGTGTTTGATGGGAGAAATTGCGTTCCGTGCAAAGTTGTGTATTTTTTACAAGTTTATAGCCAGGCTTTTGGCTTTTTCTTCGTCCATGTAGTGAAGTGTGTGAGTTGCAGGACTTTGGAGTATAGGTATCCGGATTTTTACAGGGTTTGCCAAAGTGTGTGGCCGGTCTTCTTGATGTTTGCAAGCTTATCCTGCCATATTTGGTTTTGGGCTTTTGCGATGTGTTTACGGATGGGATTTGAAAGGTGGCTTGTGGAAGGGGTTACCACTTTTCTGGAATTTCTACCTGCGTTTATTTCTCTCCTTAATGAGGCTCTGGAGAACAGGGCTTGCGGTTCAGGATTGATCATGGTGTGGAGTTTTACGCGTTGCGTTTCGGATTAGCATCTTTGGATTAGCCAGATGAGAGCTTCGATTTCGTTGTCGATGTCGATGTCGTTGCAAAATTTGCAACACTAAAATTTGCAACACTTTGAGACAAATGTCCCAATAAAGATATATTCGTGAAAGATATAAATATGAATTTTTTTTAGTATGTGAGGTACTAGTATCAAGGGCTTTGTAAAATTTTTTCAGATTTTTAGATTTATAAACAAAATATAAAAATGAAATGTATCTTATTACCCCATAGAAGTTAAATAATTTTTTAAATTTTTTATTTGATTTATTACGAATTGTAATTGTTATCATATTGTAATGTTGTTCAAGAATTCGGCAGTTTCCTCCTATATCTTTTTATCCTTTGTTATTTAGTTCAAAATTGTGTATTTGGTTTAAATTAAGTTTTCTTTTTTCAATATTTGTTTAAGTAAAACATATTTAATCTAGGTATTAAAATTTTATGTGTATAAGTGAATATTATATTAAATATAAATATAAATATAGTATTTTATTAAAGTAGAAATTAACGAATCGAATATCAAGCATTGAAATGTAGTTGGAACATAATTTCAGAATATATACTAAAATCTAGTGGAAGTTACTTATTATATATATTATTATAAAATTTTCTATTTGTAAATTGTAAAATTTTTTTTTAATTTTAATGAACGTATATCTTTCAATTTTTACAGATGGATAACACTCGTGTTCTAATGCTGTTCATCTTGTCATTGACAATAACTGCAATTATGTGTCAGCGGTTTCAGTACAGTGATGGCTGGACAAATGGAAAGAGATCCACCCCGTCTGTACTGGAAGAAGTTGTAAATTCTGCCAGCAAGAATGCAGATCAATCAGATAATATCCTTGTTGATTGCGAGCTACAGAAGTTGAAATTATTGCTTCAAGGAAAAATTAACAATGCAGTAAGTGATATTAAAAATTAAAAAAGCGAACATTATTTTACAACGAATATTATTTTACATATGAAATGTTAAATCGTATAATTTTGAATTATGAAACTTATACATAATTAATATGCCTGAAAAAATTGACTATTTTTTATATTTTGATAAATTTTTTATAATCAAATTTCTACAACTCTCATTGGTATTATGTTGTAATATTATTATTACAGTTTAAATTATTCTATTATTAGTGCGTCAATCAAAAAATTTTTTGTTTGATATAAGTAACATGATTTAAAGAGATCTTTTCTTAACATATATAACAAATTTTTTGAAACTCTCCTTTCTTGAAATTCAAGTTGCCTTCAATTTTTTATATATAATTTTCCTACGCTGTAATTTTTAGTAAATATTGAGACGGATTCAATGAGTATCATAATAAATATCTTCAATTGAAAAAAATTACTAAAGAAATATTATCTAAGAACTTTAATAGATGATCGTTTAGCTTTTTTTAGGATATATGCACAATAGATGAGCATGCATTTAAAATTCTATGGCTCATATTTTCCACAGTTAATAGAAGTTCTTTATTTCATTTCAATGTATCCCATAAAAAGAATTCTAACAAAGTAAAATCAGGGCAACCATGAAGTTGATTATGCTACATCGTCAACAGATATTTTTATGTATTCTGCTATAGAACAAATCAGTAATGGCTGTGTAACAATCTAATGTGCGATATTCCTTGTTAAATTATACACAATTCTTTATTGTTTTTTTTTTCGATTTCGATGACAAAAAATATGAAGATGAATTATTGAATTTAGTAATCGTTAAGAAAAGTTTATCTATAAAAAACTGGAGGCTTAGGTTAGGTTTAGGAGGCTTAACATTGGATCTTGAAAAAAAGAATGGATAAAAGATTTACTATAATTACCTTGAAATTCTTTTTAATCTATCAAACAAAAAAAAATTTCAGCCAGATTATTAACAGAATAATTTAAATTTATCATATTCCGTCCTATATATTCTTTAATGAAGTTTAGAATGAAAAAAAAATAATCTGATTCTTTACAGCTGTCTCAGTTACCCTGTGAACTGCTTAGTTCAACAAAAAAAGAAAGCTTCCCTGAAAATATGATAAACCATTTCCGTAGGCAGCCTACTCTTGCCAATAATAATGACTAATGACTAACAATATTATCAACATCGTAGAAGTTTTAATTAATTGTGAATTACATATTATCAACATTGTAGAAGTAGAAATGAATTGTGAATTACATATAATCAAATAGAGCAACTTAATAGAAATTTCGTAATCTTGTTGAATTATCTACCTTTTCCCTAATCTTTGGATATTTCTTATTTCAAGAAACGTAAGCGCGATCCATGTAATTTCATAATTTCTGCAAGGTTATTTTATTTAAAGTTAACTTTTATTTAAGGTTTATTTAAGGTTAATTTTCGAAATACAAGAATAAATAAGAATAATTCTTAAACAAGTAGTTTGTTTATTAAATTTAGTACTATAAGTTAAATAAATAAATATCGATAAAAAATTTGATGAATATAAAATGTCATTTTGACGTTTACAAGTACCTTTGACTTATTGCATCATATATACATATAATAATATTATAAATACATATTAAATACGTATATAATTCAGTAACATTAAAGGAATACTGTATTTTTAGAACTAGAATAAAATAATTTTTTCTTGCCACTTTTTGTCACAATATATGTATAAGTAATGTAGAGATATAATTTAATGATGTTTATTATATTAAGTAATTAAGAAAA